TCTGCTCTGATTGTTACCCAAGAATATAGATGATTTAGAGGATAAATGATGAGGTTAGTAACTTGAATATGATAATTCATTATTGAATCGAGTGAATTTTGTGTTTTAGATTTAGAGCTCTAGTCCTAATTTTTAATCCCAATTCTTGAATCTATCTAGTCTTGCTTTAGCTCTTTAAGGAGATTCATTATAACTCTTATTAGATCTAATAGGAGAAGTGCTTTTATGAATGCTACTAAATACAATATGAGCTGGTGTTAATGCACTAAAATAATTAAAATAATTACTGGTATTCTCCAACTACTATTCCTTATAAGCCTTTACTTTATTTTGGTGAGGAGTCTCTAAATATTCTCATTCTGACTGGAGACATATTAGTTGACTCTCTAGTTTTTGTGGTAAAGTTAGAGTGTCCAATTTTACTGATGGCAGTTGATAATACTCCAATTTAACTGTTTTTTGGTTTGTAAACTTTGCTGGATTCCAAACTAACAATAGATTGAGTGAACATAATTTTATTTATGTGTAATAAAATTTAAGTTTTCCCCTTTATATGAGTAAATATTATTAACAATTAAAGTCTAAAAATAACATATAAGATACAAATATTATTATTATATCAATTCAATTTTTCTATCATATATATCTTATATAGGACAAAGTGTCAATTATTACTTTGTACTGATTATCCTATTTTTAATTCGGCAATACATAAAAATAACATGATTAATTAGATAAGAAGATTAATTAATTTGAGAGTTTATCTATTCTTCATATGAAAAATCATTATTTAATGTGAGAAATCAATTCTAAAACTAGAATAAACATAATCAAAATTTAAATTTATAAACTTATCATTTTTAGGTTTTTTTGAATTTTTAATAACAAACACAAATTTTTTTTTGCTTTAATCCATAGAAATCTAAAATATTATATCTTTAATATCTATAATCAACTGAAAGTTTTGTTCTTAGGTTGAGATAAATGTTTTAAAAAATTAATTTTTTTTAAACAATTTTTTTAAGAATTTCTATATCTTACATAAATATAGCTTTTATTTAATAATATATAATAATCTAATTTACAAATTGTTAAATTTTTTCATCTTCTAAGGATAATAACAAATTTAAATATTTAATCCAGAACAGTAACGTAATTTTTTATGAGGTTTGAGCAAGAAGTAAATGATTATTTCAAATAAATCTGAATATCTTAGAATGAATAACTAAATATTATTTAAAAATTTGGATTAAATAAAAAGATAATGAATTATACAGTCGTATAATACCATTTTATTATGCTTAATGTCAGATTAATACAAAAATATAGAATTATTCCAAACTAACAAATAATTGATATAATGAAATATGTTTCTGAAGAACTAGAGAATAGCATTTAATTTAAGATTCATTTTTTAAATTGAATATATTTGTATTATGGAAATCATTTTCTTCCAAGGCTGGTTTATGAGGCTAAGGATCTAACTTAGTCTTTGAACAATTAGATGACAACATCGATGATAGCATTTTCCTCTATTGATTATTGTGATAAATGGTACCGGCTCTTCTGGCAGTTTCGGAGGCATAGAATTCTCTCTTCTCTTCCAAATCAGCGGTAGCTCCTGCAACGGCGTTCAAAGAATCTTTCCAGAGTTTGAGGGCTTTGGCTTATTAAGCAAGGACAGCTGGGAGTTGCTATAAAATTATATTAAATAAAATTGTACAGTTTCTAATTTTTCAACTAAACCAGTTCTTCTTTCTTATTCTGAAGTTAACCAAGCAACTTCAGCATTAGTATCTGAAACGTATTTGGCAAGAGCAAATGCTGCATGGATTTCTTATTCTTATAAGGTAGCAAGAGTTGATTCTAATTCAACTTATAAATCTTATAAGATTTAAAGGACTTATTCTCCAGTTGTACCATCTCTCTTAACTTCAGCAAGTGATTAGAATTTTTAGATAGCATCTTATTAGAAAAGATGACTGTATGCTGATAATTTATCGGCGATTGTTTAAGCCTTTTCAACAAGTTCAACTCCAGCATTGTTTGTTAAGAAACCAGCAACATCTTATTATAAGAGTTAGACGACTCCGATGGCATCAGCATGATCAGCTAGGGATTTAACAAAAAGTCCATTGGCCCAACATCTTTAGTCTTGGAGTTAATTATTTCTTCTAACGATTTCAGCAAGTCTGGCTTCAGCCCAGGCTAACCATTAATATCCATCCTTTATGAATTAATTATTTTGCTTACTCTAACTTAAGCTTCAACATCTGTTCTGACAACACCAAGAGATTCCCATTATTACTTATTGAGTGAGGCAACGTTTGTCAAGTCACCAATAACTTATGAAAAGATTTCTACACATAATAATACAATATACCTTCGTCTGTATTGTTCTTTTTGTCAGCAGCAGCTTACACATTCACATTTTCTGTTTTCAAATCTCTTAAGAGATTGTAAACTGATTCAACAGCATCATTTCCTCTTGTGCCTGTTTGAAGAAGCACGGCGAATTTGTTTGTGTCAAGTGCAAACACAGCTGCTACGAGGCAAATCACAACGAATGTTTTCATATTTATTTTAATAATACCAAAAACGGAATAAAATTTCGTCGTTTTAATGTTGGTATATATAATAATTTTTATAATTCTACACCTTAAAAGACTATGGAAATGTTTTACATTATTTAATATTATTATCTTATTTATATTCATTCCTTCTTTATTAATCCATTATCACTAATTTATTTGTCTCAAATAATTCAAAATTAAACAATTCTTTTATAAAAAAGATACTGTTAGCATTAATATATGAATCTATCTAATTTTAATAAAAAAAAGTGCATATTCAGTTTTTTAATCATATGCTCATTTGATATATGAATTTTCCTTAATTATTATTATCCATTAATTTTTCATTTTTTTTTCAATTTAAATAAATTTCTCTTTGAATATATATAAAATTAAATATAGGAGTTTTGACAAAAAAAAATTACAATAATTATCACATATATTCATCTATTTAATTTATATGAAATTTAAGTCAAATAGTTTATCTATTATATAATTATTTTTAAATTAAATATTTTAGATTCTATACAAATATAAATATATTTAAGTATAAGAAAGACTTAGAAAATTATCCATTAATAAATTATTTGTGAATAAATTCATCAAAAAAATTTAAATTAAATACATTTTTGAAAATATTTATTCACATTTTAGAATTTATTTAATATCCAAAATATTTTAATGATAATTTGTATGATATTGAAATAAAATCAATAAATATTTTTTAAGATGATTATATGCACTCTATGTGAGAATTAGTTGATGAAAGATATTGTTATTCTTATATAATGTGGACATCTTTATCATATTGATTGCTATAGTAAATATAATTAATAAAATGAATCAAAAATTTGTGTGAATTGTAAAAATGAAAATGACTAAATCGAAGTTAGATTTTTAATTGATTAAACTGATACTATTCCTATTTAGTAATTGAACTAATTAAAGATTATGCGTAAATCAATTTTAGAAAAAAGAGAATAAGAAATATAGCTGACAATTAAAAATTATAAATTCCTCTTATTAGATTATTATATGGTTATATGTGATCTGTAATAACTCATTTAAGATAAAAACTGGTAGATTAAACATTAACAACTAAATTTCAAGAACATAACTGATAATATCTTTGATGATTAAGATTTATTATTATCTTTCTATTCATAAAGTGATTTCAATAAAAAAGAGGCTTATTATTATTAAAATTTATAAGATAAATATAATAAAATATATCTTCGTAAAATAGACTATTAAATAATAAGTAAAAACACTGAAAATTAAGATTAAAATATTATTTATTTCAAAGATATTTGTTCAATCAAAAATCAGGATGAAAATTCATATGATAAAAATTTAAAGTGCTTTTAATTGTAGATCTTTTCAATTAAAAATAAACTTAAGAATATTGAAGAATAATTAAGTTTAATTCAATCTATTATAAAATAATAAACTAGAATAGATAAATTATGCACTCTTTGTTCAGAAAAATAGAATACAGAAATTGTAACTCTAACAAATTGTGGTCATATATACCATTTAAAATGTTTTGAAATGTCAAATTAACAAATTCATTCTTGCCTTAATTGTTTAAATAACTTCAAGACTTCAATCATTCAATTTTAGATAGAAGATTCTCAATAAATCTAAATATTAAAAAATAAAGAATCATATAGATGGAGTTTAAAAAATTTAGAAATCAGAAAAGTATAATTATTAAATGAAATATCTAATCATATAAAAATTGATAAGGATTATTCTGTAGTAATATAAAATTTAGTCTAATATATTTAAGAGTTATAAAAAACAAATAAAGATATTTAAGAAGTTAGCTTAATCTCTTAAGATGAATAAGATTTAGGTATAAAATAAATAGACAACTAAAATTTTCAAAAATTTGAGAATAATATTTTAAATTCTTAGAAAATTTACTTGAATTAAATTTTTAAAGAAGGAAATTAAGTTCGAGAATCATATAATTAAGTAATCTACTTTGTAGATATTTGTTATCCATAGAATCATTGTGTAAGTAAAATAAATTAGAATTTATAAAATTTAATATCTAAGAGATTAGAATTGTAATAAAGATGGGAAATTTTAGAGGAACAGTTAGAGATGGCAGAAAATCGATTAGTAGATAGATATAGATATAGATAAGAATAATAAGATAAAAGAATGGGAATCAGAAGAAGGCCTCCATAAACAGAGACTAAAAAATTAAATGAAAGATTAAATGATCTTCTAGGTTATCAAAATAAATTTAAATTATATCTAAATAATTTTGAATAGAAAGATTAATAAAGTGAAATTTCTAATGAATATTCATAAACAGATGAGTTTTTTTGATATATTTTAAATTTATCATATAATTTAAATTAATTAAATGAATTTCTTCATTATTTCAATTTTATGTTATTTTATATCTCTTAATCAATTGATTTATAATTCTATATCATCAATTTTATCCCTTACTGAATTTGTAATGCTCTTCTTTACAGTCACTTTTGCAAATACAATCTTCACCCCATTTTTATTTATTTCACTACAATTTGAAATTGGCTAATCTTATAATATTAATATACTTTTTGCAATCTTTCATTTACTTAATTATGCAACATACAAAGATATGACATAAATTCGACTTTCGTACTTCCTTCATTTGGTAAAATGATAGTCAAATTATAAAATGTCCAGCACACTCTTAACAAGGAATTGTCCATAAAAATAACATTTTTCATTTACAATAAATTCGAAAAAGCATTGATTTTAAATGTGAATTCCTCATCAAAATTAACAGGAAGTATAGCTGAAATCATATGTAATCTAGTCCATCCAACTTGACCTAATTCTTCTCTAGTAATTCCATTACTAAATTTTCTTTTCTATTTAGGTTTTATTGTTAAAGAGTAACCTTCAATTAAATCAGTTTCATTTTAATCTAATATTTTTAAATGTTCTTCATCTGGTTAGTTGATTTCCCAAGGAAAAGGTACTTATACAGACAAAAATCAGTAGCTTTTATGTATTAGACTTTCTGTATTTATTAAGGTATTTTAATCATATTAATGGATTGTATTGATGAGGAATAGAGTGATAAAAAAGAGATAAACATCAACTATCATAATTTAAGGCTTTTACATTAAATTAAATAAAAATATATAAAAATGGAATACCCAGATGGGTACCTACTACGTAAGATTATCAACTAAGCAAGCTCTATTTTCTTGGGACTCTAAACGTACTAGTACTAAATTGAAATTGTGCCAAGACTAATTATAAGTTATAGCTACTGATGGATCTGGATTTAAAAGTTCCATTGGTGATTAGGTATAAAGATTACTACTTTAAGGAATTCACTCCAGGTTATAAATATTACTATGAGATTAAAATCTTAAAGGGCAGTTTAATTAAGATTGGCGTATGCACGAAGAATGGGCTGTTCTAAGATGTAAACTCAATGCTCCACCTAAGCAAGCTTTCAGTGATAACGAAGAAGGATGGGCAATCTATAATGGCGAACTGAGACACAATTCTAATTCCACTGGCAATAAGTATGGCAAATAATACAAGAAGGGAGACATTATAGGAGTTATGCTGAATATGATAGATGTACAAACTCACTAATTCAATTTTAAAAGGGCTAATTATCATTTTCAATAAATGGAGAGAATTAAGGAATTGCATTTGAATGCAAAGAGCTTAAAGAAGTTCCACTTTATGCTGCCATAGCTCCAATTTATAAGGAAGATGGTATAGAATTGCTAATGGCGGTCAGAGAAGATTGATTTTTAATTAATTTAATCATTATTCAGGTTAAATCATATCATAATCCTATTCGATTATTTTTCTTGGTTTTAAATTCCAATATTTAAAGAAATTACAAATTTTATTGAAAATCACTTATTATTCAATTAATATAATAATTGATTATTTAATATACTTTATGAATAATGATTTAGAAAGATTAATCTCTATTCTAAGATTTTTATCCAGACCATATTAATCCAAAAATTTATATTCTGATTCTTATTTTAATTTGATATCTAATTATTTAGAATATTTATAATCATCTAATTTAGTTGTACAATTTAATTCATTTGTATAATTTTTGGTTTCCAAAATTATAATAGTTACATGATGTATTATAAATAATTGTTGTTGTTTGTACAAAATCTAAAAAGATTTAGAAAATCAAGTTTAAGATTTGTTCCTTTGAGTTTGCTTAAACTAATGTATCACGAAGTATTTTAAACTTAAAATAAATTCATTTAAAGAGCAACTTATTTTATGTCTTGTAAAGTCATTTAATAAATTAATGTTTCCAAATCCAATTCCGTAATCTAAATAAAGAGGTATATCGTAACCTAGTCGAGGACAGCCCGTTAGAGTTATATTCAAGAAGAGAAGGCTAGACAAATAGATAGGGAGAATCAAATGCTTTTTCAAAAAATTTTAGGCATTACAATGAAACAAAGAAATTGTTCTACAACACCTACAAAAAGCACATTAAATTATAAAAACAGAAAAGACTTTCAATAGAAAATAATGGATGAAAATTAGAAATTATTCACCAGAATAAAATAACAAACATCATATTACAAAATTTAGAAATCATAAACAAAATCATTATCTAAATAAAGAGCAAATTCGTCTGTAAATATTAAAAAATATATAAAATAGTATTTGCCAAGTAAGAAATTATAAGAATTATATTAGAGTAAATTAGAATAAGGTGGTTTAATTTATAAAATAAAGATTATTATAGATGGATAGTATTAATATTTAATTTTTTATAGATTATTTAAAATAATGGCAACAACAGAAGAATAAACTTATACAAGAGTATTAGAAATGATGAAAAGTGATGGTAATATAGTGTTTAAATGATTAGGAATTCTATTATTGAAGAATGTATTTCAGAATGATTATCAAAAATTAATAGGAAGTTTATAAATTTCAGATAAGATTACAATAAAAGGGATTGAATTAATAGAGAATCATGGTAATTTTGGTTGATAAATAAATAAAAAAAATAATCAATTTTGTTCATCATTATCTGTTTCCCATTCATCATTATCATTGTTTTCAGGACCTATAATTGGTCTAAAATGTTCTCGTTCTTCTCTTTAATGTAATTCTTATTACATTTCTTCATACATTTATTCATATATTTATTTTTCTAATTCATCTTCCTCATTATGAGAATCTTCATCAACCCAAGATAATTGCTCTTCTTCTTAATTGAAATGCAAATTTCCTTATTCATCCATATAGCATTCAGTTTTTAATTGAATTTTCTTTTTTTATTCTTATTCTACGTTTAAATCTGGATTAGAATCATCCTTATAAATGAGATCAGCCATGGTTCTATATGAAAAATTAGCAAGAATTTCTTAAGCTTATTCTCTTGATATTTGATTATATGGCTTTTTGAGATTTGTAGAAAGTTATGCTTTATCTCTTTTAAACCATTTGAACATTAAAATTATTTTAAGGCTAAGAATTATTAAAATTTTATAATATGTAGGGATGCAATAGATCATAAAAAATAGCCATCTGTACAGTTGGTTTGCCAGCAAGAGGGAAAACATATATTTCTAGGAAATTAAATCGTTACTTTAATTGGTTGGGTTATAAGAGTAGAGTATTTATTAATGGAAATTACAGAAGAGAAATATGTGGTACTGAATGTAATTCTTTATTTTTTGATCCTCACAATGAAGAAGTATAATAAATTATAATAAATTTAGGCTTAAAAAGCTAGAAGTGATTGTGCTAAAATGGCATTATAAGATTTAATATAATTTCTTAAAAATGGAGGAGATGTAGGAATACTAGATGGAACAAACATTACAAAAGAAAGAAGACATTAGATTGAAAATGAGTTGAAATCATCTTTTAATGGAATTTAAACTCTATGGATTGAATCTATATGTAATGATTCTAAAGTGATTTAAAATAACATAAGACTAACCAAGATTAATAATCCAGATTATTGTAACATGAACTCTGAACAAGCTACAATAGATTTCCTTAATAGAATTAAGATGTACGAGCAAATATATGAAACTATAACCGACGATGAGAATCTCTCATATATCAAGACTATGAACGTCGGAGCAGACGTACAAAACATGTTTCCATGCTTAGATTATTGTTCATTAAGTCTTTGGCTTTCTGTTGTCCAAGATCGTATCCTTTATAATGAATCTACATACCTATCCAAGACCAATCTACTTATCTAGACATGGAGAGAGCCAGTACAATGTTGATGATAGAGTTGGAGGTGATTCCGATTTATCTCAATTAGGAGAGATGTATGCAGACAAATTGGCAGATTTTTTCTATTAAGAATTTCCAACTAAAGAAATTAAAAATGATATCATATTTTTGACATCAACAATGAGAAGAGCTGTCCATACATCTGATGTTGTGGCTTAAAAATTAGAAATTTAACCATTACAATTAAAGACATTAGATGAAATCAATGTAGGTATATGTGATGGAATGACATATACTGAAATTGCATAAAAGTTTCCTAATGATTTTTAAGTAATCATTTTATAATATTATTACTTATTAGGAAAGAAAAATCAATAAATTAGGTTATAGATATCCAAGAGGAGAATCATATTTAGATTTAATTAGTAGAATTGAACCTGTTATATTTGAAATTGAAAGATCAAGACAACCAGTTATGATAATAGCACATTAGGCTATTTTAAGATGTTTATATGCTTACTTTCACTAAAATGAGATACCAGAAGTACCTACTTTAGATATACCGTTACATTGTGTTATAAAATTGACTCCTGCTGCCTACTTTTGTGATGAAAAAAGAGTGTTAATTAATCCTTAAACTGGAGAAATCTCTATTAAAGAAGAATATGTTTAAGAATTTGTGAGATCTAAAAGTAAATAGAAGAGCTTTATTGATTTATGATTATATTCATCAAATGTTAATGGATTGATCATTAAAAATAATATAATTTATTTATATTATATATATGAAAATAAATATTCGTTTTTCGATTTTTTAGCAAAAAATAATCGTCAGACATATGTCAATAATAATTACAATAAATGTTAAAACTAGCTCTTTGTGTATTGTTGGTGCTTGGTGCAACAGCCATCAATGTCTAATCCTCCATCTGGACTAACCGTGACTAAAAGGCTCTTGCTTAAATTCACTCATCTGGTTGGGGAAAGTTCATTTTGAATTATGCTGAACTCCATATGTCAACAGGAGGTATTCTCTCTGAACTCAATAGCGAAATTGAAAAACTCGTAATCCTATATCATTAATAATTAAGGTTGATGAATTAGAAGAAGAATTAGCTGGAGTTCATCACGAATTTAACAGAAGAACTGACGTTCATAACAGAGAAGTATCAAGACTTGAATAAGAAATCTAAGACAAAGAAAGAGGTACTCATTCTTTTTGATCCTTTTTAGAACTCTTCAATGCTCATGATTTCTATGATAATGTCCTTATCCCATAAAGAGATAGATTTGCTGCCTAACTTGAATAATTATAAGAAAACATTGCCCATAACAGATAAACTCTTGAATAAGCTACAGTCTAAAGAGAAAATGATCACGAGACCTTTGAAGCTGAAGTTGCAGAACATAATGATGCTATTAGTGCCATTGATGAATGTCTCTAATTATTAAGCACAATCACAGCCCCATCTCTTGCTTAAATCAAAAAGGTTTAAAAGAACCTCACCAAAATCCAAAACTCATTGAAAAAGCACAACTAATTCCAAATCTTTGTTAAAGTACTTTTGGAAATCACAGTTGAATCTAACTTTGCTGATTAAGGTGCTCTCAGAGATGTAACATATATTTTCATTCTTAGATTGTTGTAGCTTTCAATAACTTGAGAGTTGAATTAGTTGATTCTCTCAACTAAATCACAGCTGATGAAGCTTAAGCTGTTGCTGACTTCAATGCATAAGTTGTTTAATTGAACTAAGAGCATGCTGAATTCTAAAGAGCTGTTGTTGTAAAGAATGCTGAAATTGAAGCCAATGCAAGTACTATTTACATATCTAATTCATTTAGCCAAGATTGAATAAACCCTTGACCTTATCGATGAACTCGATGCTGATTTAGCAACCCTCAATGGATAATTATAAGCTGAAAATGATGACTATGCCTTTGCAACTGACGTCTACAATTCAACCGTTGCAGAATACAACAAAGAAATCAATGCTGCCAACCAAGCCTTAGAATTGCTCAACTAACCAAGATTTTAAGATTATGTTAAATCATAACTCAAAGGAGCATGATCTATTCAAATAATATCATTCAAAAGTTATCACCATTCTATTAAATTTTTATTTACTTTTATTCTTTTAGAATTGAATTCTCTATACTTAATTAGTTTCCCTGTAAAATATGAGTTTCAATCATTCTCTCCAAAACTTAAAATAATATCCTAAAAAATCAGAATTTTTATTATTTGATAACTGATGATAACGATATAACTTAATTTAGCTTTTTTCATAAATTAGAATGATAATGGGGAAATATCTAAAGTGTTTCTTGTTTACTTCTAAAAAATCTGATTATTTCTAGCTTTATTATAGACAAAACAGTAATTATTCATCATATTAAATTTATAATTTGAAAAATGTACAATTTAGCAAAAATACTATACCTAATAAATAAATATTTACAAATTATTTAATAACCGTGATGTCTTCATTTAATAAATATTAAAAACATTATAATATATCCTTATTTTTTCTTTTTGATATAAATAACTTATAGTTATATAATTATTAACTTTCTTCAGAATAAATATAATTTAAAAGAATTCAGGAGGTAGTTGCTTTTATGAGGATAACAAATTAATTTAAAGTTTGTTATAAAAATGATAATTTAGAATTGTAGACTTATAAAAAATAATATATCTTGAATTATTAGTCTCAATTCCTTGTTGCTATTTGAAAATAAGATTTGATGATTATAAGATAGTTAAAGGCAAAGAAAATTTCATAGTCTTATTGGATATAAAGAATAATTTGAAGGAGTACTATAAATATAATTTGTCATTCAATCAATATGAATAAAATAATCAGAAAAAAAATATTAGATTGTTAAAGTGTTTTTTAGTTAATATATATTCTCTCATTAAATAAAAAAGTGAGGTATGCAAGATGTTAAGGGACAAAAAAAAGTAAAAAAATAAATTATTGAAAATGATGAATTTTTATTTTAAATATCCATCAAAAATAAGATCTAAAAACTTTTAAATATTCTATAATCTTAAATCAGCTTAATATATTTATATACGATCAACTCTTAAATTTTAAATTTTATATTAACACAATTAGTTACAAAATAAGGAAAGTCTACATTATTAATTTATTTAAAAAATTAAAAAATGGTGAATGCCAAGTGAGTAAAGTGATTAAGAATTAGATTGTTTATTTATTTTTTTGAAGATAGAAAATATCTATAAACTTCTGGAACTGAATCTTATTCACTGTAAATAAGAAGTTTAAGAATTTATGAATAAAATAAATTGTATTTTTTTAAAATATGTAAAAAATGGAGGTATAAACATTTTTTATTTGTAATAGATAATTAAACTGGAAAGGTTATTAGTATATGTAATTTTATGGCTAGTTTATAAAGAGATAAGATCAAAAGAGTAATTTATTTTTTTGCTTATTTAATTGTTAGTTATAATTTTTATTATTTTTCGTTTAATTTTGAAGTATTTTGTTAATATATAAAATATTAATTTTTTATCAAGATGGACACAGAAGAAGAATGTTTTTCTGGAGATGAAATTGATCAATTCAATTGTCCTAAACATTCATTAATTTATACAAGTAAATTAATTTTGTTAATTTATTATTTAGATTACTGTACGACTACTTAATAATTGCTATGCTAAGAATGTATGATTAAATGCAGTTTGAAAGTATAAAACATTATTTCAATAGAGAAAGTAAGATTCTTTATAGAAATTAGGCTTTAAATAACATTAGTTAATAAAATAAATAATAATTGTAGAAAGTTCAAAAAATCATTAAGAACTTTAATAATCTTGATGATCAAATTTAAAAAGAAAATAATTAAATAAATAAAATGTCATAACTTCAAATTTAATCATTAAATTCAATTTGCACATAAATTATTGAGATTGTATAAATGAAATTTTAAGAATTAATTGAATAAGTAGAAGTTCATAAGATGAAACATATATAATCTTTATAGGATTCCAAAGTACAGCTAATTATTATTATAAAAGTGTATAATTGACGAATATAAGGGAAGAGGTATCTAATTAGAGAAGAATATTGTAAATTAATAAAATACATCTGGATATGAATAATTAAAAAAGTTTAGAGAATATTAAACTATAAATTGTAAGACAATCAAAGAGCTAGAAAACGAATATGATAATTTATCACAAGCTCCTAAAATTTAATATTAGTAATTATAAATTAGAAATGCAAATGATATTGTTAAATAAATCTCTAATTTATTATGTATTTTAGAAAGAGACTCAGATTATAGAATTAAAAGAGTATCAGCTAAATTATATTAATAACCTAATACAACAAGAGCTAGTCCATTTTCTAAAAAAGGATTTACTTAGCATAGTTAACCTCATTTTAGTTTATAATCATCTAAATAATAAATGAGAAAGACAGAAGTTAAACAAATAACTTTAGATATACCAACAGATTTAAGTTCAATTTTAGACAAAGCTTCTCCTGAATAATCAATTCTTAATGATTTCTTTAGTAACAAATAATCATTAAGTGATCATTCAATTTCAAAAATGGAAATTCCAATTTAAAATCAAACATAATTTTATATTTTAGGAGGATTATTAAAGGGTTAAAGATAAAATCTTATTGAATTGGTTGATATATAAACAAAGTAATCTAGTTAATATGATTTTTTGGTATCAAATCGTTATGGATTTTAAATAGCATATCATGGAAATCAAATTCTATTAATAGGAGGTAAATAAGAAGGTATTAGAACAGCTTTATGTGAATCATATGATCCAAAACTAAAATAATCTAAAATCTCTTAATTAATACTTACCAAAGGAGTTAGTGGATTATCATCAAAATAAATAGGAAATAAATTATATATTTCAGGTGGAAAAACAGATCAAGGTATTTAAGATATATTTTAACTTATTAATTTGGATACCTATTAAACAAAAAATTTATAATCTATTCCTATTAAATGTTATAATCACACTTTAGTTTAAGGTAATGAACCAAATACATTATATTTATTTGATGAATAAGGTTGTTTCAAATATGATATAATAAATAATCAATGGAAAAAAATCAAATCACCTAATTATCCAAGAAGAAATCATATTTCTTTGACTCTTCCAGATGGTATATGGATGTTTGGAGGAAGATCTGGCAAAAAATATATTAAATAAATTGAAAAATATGATGAAACTGATTAATAATTTTATTAAATGGGAGAATTAATCTGTCCAACAATTAAATTTGATGCAATAATTAGTGATGATTATTAATTTGTGTATTTAGTTGGAGGAAAGACATAGGAAAATATTCCTAGTTCAAATATTTGGAAGTATGATATTTATATTTATAAAATACTAATTAGATATTCCATTTTAACAAATTAATGCTCATTATACAGTTAATTCATAAAGCCAAGATACTCTCATAAATTGATACCCAAAAAAGATTGATTTTAATTAATAAGTATTTAATTACCTATTATATTAATATTCTAAAGAAATTGATATCTATTATTATTTAGCAAATTATAGATTTGGAAAGAAAGTAAGCGATCAACATTTTATTATATATATTTTTAAGAAACTTTTAATACAATTGAATATTTTTATAAGCTTTTTTTATTTTTTAGATATAAAATCATAAATATTGAAAGATACATTTAAACTTTAGATAATTGATT